CCTTGACGAGTCTGCAGCAAGGGCCTTCTGGGCTTCTCGCTTCAAAGGACCGTCTGCAATCTATCCGCCCGTTCCAGTCGGTCATTACGCCCAACCGTTCGGAGTGGCTACCAAGACCATGGCACTTGACCTTCAACAGACGGGAATTTCTCCAGCCCATGTGCCGCTATACATCGAAGCTGCATGGGCTTTGACGGCCGCCACTTACGCCAGCAGCGACAGTGTCGCTTATGGTCTTGTCTTATCCGGGCGCAGCCCATCTGCTCGTGGCTTGGAGAAGACTCTCGGACAAACAGTTGTGGAGATACCTGTCCAAGTCCATCTCAAACGAAATATGACAATTGAGCAGCTGGTTAAAGATCGTGCGACTTCCCTACGCAAACTTCAAGCGGAGCCCTCGATCCAATTCGGCTTGGACGGCATCGCCTCAGTCAGTGATGCAGCGAGAACGGCGGCTGGCTTCCAAACCCAACTGAACATTATACCGTTCCCTAGAACTCAGTCAGACAAGAAAAGCATCCCTATAAATGGCGACATCGAAATGGACCGCATTGTCTGGATGGCAAAGGGCTCATTCGCCCTGATGCTTCCTTGTTACGTCGGGCCAGGTCAGGTTTTCGTCGAAGCGAAATACGATCCTGTGTGCATATCAGAACGCCAAGTACATCGTGTTCTGAATCAATTCGACCACGTCTTACAGCATTTTCTTGTCGCTCCGATGAATTTAAAGCTCAATCAATTGCGTTTATTTAGCTCTGATGATATGGCTGAGGTCACCCAATGGAACAAAATCTTACCCAAGGCGGCAGAAAAGCTTATCTATGATGACTTCGTCCTAAACTCTCACCTGCGACCGGATATTCGAGCCGTTGAGGCTGCTGATGGATATGCGTCCTATGGCGAGCTACACCAACTTTCTGATAGTTTCGCGGATGAGCTGCACAGAAGAGGTATAAGCTGCCGCGAACCTGTCCTTTTCGCGATGGAGAGATCTCTGTCTGCTATAATTGCTATCATCGGTATTATAAAGGTCGGTGGTATCTGCGTCCCTGTTTACAAACAGGATTCATTTCATCAGAAGACCTTCTTGGCCTCTTCGGTGAGAGCGAGATTTGCGCTCAGTTCCACCTCTGACTACTCTCTGCTCGAGGGTGTCGTACCAAATGTCCTACCAATCGATATGGCCTTCATCTCTGGACTATCACGGTCCAGTAGGAATGGAAAAGATCATATCACGTCCCCGGAAGATCCTGTTTTCATCCTCTCTACCAACGGAAGTATGCTAGGCCCCAAAGACGTTGTGTTTGAACATCGCTCTTTGGTTTCCAATCTTTCTGCGATATGCTCGCGTCTGGACTGGCACTCGAGCACCCGAATTTTGCAATTTGCACCCCCCGCTTCTACTGCCAGCATTTATGAGATATTCGGCGCCCTTTCTTTAGGGAAATGTCTGTGTGTCCACCCTGAAACGACACGGACCATTGAGACGGAGCCTGCCGACTTCATCAGCTCGTTCAATGTGGACACGGCTTTGTTGCCTCCAAGCATAATCCGAAACATCAACCCGGATCGCGTTACATGCCTCAAATCATTGACTTCCTTCGGGGAGTCGATGGATGAACGCACATTAACAAGATGGAGCAAAGCCACAAGGCTCTTCAACAGCTGGGGAGTTTGCGAGGCCTCTATGCTGAACACTGTCAACGAATTGATGGTGGGCTCTCCCTGCTCCGATAACATTGGAAGGCCAGTCGGATGTGCAGCTTGGATAGTGAATCCTAGCAACCCCGACGAGCTTGCCACTATCGGAAGCATCGGTGAGCTTTTGATCGAAGGCCCCTCTGTAGCCAGAGGATATTCCAACAGCGACAGCAAGACAAAAGCATCATTCATCCTTCCTCCAAAATGGGCATCCGAGTTTGGGAGAAAGTCCGGTCGTTTCCTCCGCACAGGTGACCTTGGGAAATATGCCGCGGATGGGACTGTCGTCTTCATCGGGAAAAAAGAAAACGCGGCTAAACTTGGCCCGCATACTCTTCAACTCGAAGAGTTGGAGAGCCTTCTTCTTGCCTGCCCTGAAGTTCAGGACATTGTAACATGTGTCAAAATTGCAGCGGGCCGCACACAACTCTTTGCCATTCTATCTCTTGCAGACCCTGAACTTCCCAATCAAGAAGTGCTTCAGGAGCTTTCAGAGGCTTATTCTGGTGTTGTCAACTCGCGTATCAACATCATCCGAAAGTATGCAGAACAAAATTCCCTGTGTAGCAAAGTGCCTGATATCTGGGTTGTGGTGGAAAAGTTACCGCGTACAGGGTCTTTTAGGTTGAACCGTGGCGCCGTGCGTTCATGGCTCAAGACAAATCGCCGTTGACGACACTAGACTGTTCCTCCTTGTTTATTATTCTTTATTTTATTTTTTAGCGTCTTGAAGATAGGCTACGGAATTACAATACAATATCTCGAATGGATCTTGGCTTGTTATGTTGCGTTAAGCTTCCTAGTTATAAGACGACAGGCAAACCATGTGTAGATACGTAGTTTCATTGGACATGCAATTCTTCATCATTGTACGCTTTGAGTGATTAATCGCGAGAATATATGATTTTGAAACTTAGAAATCATTTTCTTTGACTCAGTTAAGCGCAAAATTTATCAGACCCTTGATGAGGATAGTTTAGGCTTCCCATTGCATGGGTTCTGAGCTATGGCAGATGGCACTCAAGCTGTTAACGTGCTGTACAGTAAGAAATCGCGAAAGTACACGGAGTACCTGAGTCGACCTCGGACTTCCGAGTTACCGTAGGGATTGTTCGTTCAGGAGGCTAGTAAGATAGCGAAGGCCCAACTAGGGCCGTTACTCTATGATGAGGGTGTACCGGAGTGATTTTCCCCCGGATAGCCTTTGTATTACTGTTAATTGCCGAGTGATCTCCAAAACATTGCTGCCTAAGAGGATGCACGTCTCTTGGTTGGGTTGGTGTAACACCCCCTGGTTATCATATTTCCATGGTTTCAACCCGACGGAGACGACGCGTTCCTCACGTGTTGATTTATTTACCTTTCAATCTACACACACCCTCCGTGTAAGGCTGGTGATTGGAAAGCTACCATCCTCTGCGAGTAGAGATAGTGACCTTCCAGATTTCGAATGAAGTATGGAACACGTGTCCGAGATAGAACGCCATATTGCTTTGCCTGCGATGATATCATGAGTAGTATCTGGTTCAGCAACCTTGTCACCAACACCCAATTGACTTGAATGATGATATCTGAGGAACTGTCGATGAGGTAACACTCGCTTGGAGAGTATCTGCAGCTCTTGGTGGGCATGATAGCTGATATCTGATTCGTAATCTTTCATACCTTGTAAAAGCTGACCCTTACAAGACAATACCCCCCATCTTCTGTGGAGATAGATGCCATGAACCACTTCAGGAAGTGGACAAGATGGGTAAGCAGTTAGCGAGTTGGGTGTGAAATGCGAAAGGGAATGAGTGTCCAATTACTACACACCAAATGGACTGGCGGGGGACACAGGCAGGCTGGGATCTTTCATTTCCATCCTATGACACCCTTCATATGGCACCCCCGGACGCATGTAAGATAAATGTGGCTGATACGGGAGTGCCTGCTCCATCATCCGAACCACTGAGGGGCTTTCACGAACTGCTCTAAACGATGGGATATGCCAAGACAAACTTAATTTTGATATCATTTTCGTCCATTTTGCCGAAGAGGCTCTTGACTCAACAGGGTTGGTATCTTTGGGGTTACTGGCCAAAACAACAAACAGCCCACCTGTTTTCAGCAGGTAAGATTGTCTCATCACTGCCGAATGCCGAGCGCCTTCTTCATCGGCAAGTGTTATCTAGCAGAGAATAAGTGATAGGCGACGATGTGGTTTCCAGAAATGAGACTTGGATCCTATTCTAGCTGATTCTTCAAATAATACATGCAGATTATGAGGTATGTGGTTGGCATGCCCTTTCTTTAATGACGCTCGGGCATGTTCTGTTCGTGCCTTCTATGATTGCAGATACAGCGTCCACTCATCTAGGACGCCCTACCGGTGAATCGTTTTGAGTCAATAACAAGTTTCTGACCACCCATACGTTTCTCCTCCGCCACCCCAGCAAGTATTCAAGCATAGATAGGGTAGCAATCGGCTATTCGCCACAGAACCTCTTTCCGGAAGCGCTATAAGACGTGTGTTCCTCAAGACGTATGGAGTTTCTCATTAGCGCAAGGTATGGGTTGGATGTGATATCTCGGACTATACGCGTGGCCAATCAAATACCAGCGGTTATTCAAAGATTCTGCCATCTGCAAGTAATACAGGGCCGCTAAACCCGTCTGAATTGGTTGGCAATATTGGGCGATCAGATTCTCAACTAGTCCAATCAGCCCTAGGTAGCTAAAGATTTGGTCAATGAAGCTATTCCTTGCCACAACAAACCAACGAGATGACTTCAGAGAAGAGATAACTGTACTTGATGTGGTTGGTCAACTAGATAGATCTGAATATGAGTCGATACTTGCTTCCTGCTACTAGGCCTATTGTGTAGACACGTACTGTCATATGTTACGTACTAGATACATGAGTTGCATGCTGAAAGTGAGGTGAGAAATGCACGCAACCACGGTTTCGATGGGAAGATAAGCATGCACCCCAAGCCAACGCATCAGTTCCCTTTCGTAAGACGGAGTGTTCATTGTGCTACCGAGAAAGTGCGGGGTTGATCAACTTGAGGTGCTAGATGGCACCCATGATGCAACAGGGGAATGAGAATGAGGTTGGGCATGAGGGGGGGGGACCTTTGATAGATGAGTTTGCGGAGTTAGATTGATCAATGACATCAAAGTAAACCCGAGATACGTGATAAAAGTGTTTGACTATTTAATCACAGAGTGCTCCCAAGCCTGAGTTTTAGAATTTCAATTCACTAAACCCTCTCATAACTCCTTCATGTCCTGAATTTTACACTCAAGAAGAAACCATGGCTCAAGATACCCCAATCGCCATCGTGGGTCTGGCATACCGCGCTCCTGGCATCGGGAGAAAAGGCCTATGGGATTACCTCTCTGAAGCTCGATCAGCATGGACCAAGATCCCTGGTGATCGCTTCCAGCACGATGCATACTTCCGGCCTGGTGCTGACAAGGCTGGCTGTCTGAAGTCTGAGGGTGGTCACCTACTCTCAGAGGACATCTACAACTTTGACGCTGCCTTCTTCAATATGAGGGCTGAGGAGGCTAAGAATGCCGACCCTCAGCACCGTATGCTACTTGAATGCGCTCTAGAAGCGTCCGAGAACGCAGGCTACAGCCTGCTTGATCTTGCCGGCAAGAACATTGGTTCTTACGTTGCTCTCGGAGCAATGGAATATGCCAACCGTCTCTTCGGGGATGTCTTTGCTGCCACGACATTCTCGGCCACCGGTATCGCACCTTGTATGTTTGCGAATCGATTGTCCTACTTTTTCGACATCCATGGCCCTAGTATTGGTGCCGAAGCTGCCTGTGCAAGCAGTGCGTACGCTATCCATCAGGCTTGCCTAGGTGTGCGTAATGGAGACTGTGATGCTGCATTTGTTGGCGGATCAACTCTGTTCATGGCCCCTAACTCTTGGATTTCACTTGAAAAGACTGGGTAAGATACCATCTCCCTTCCCTTGCAAGCGTATCCTTTTCTTTTCTTTCAATTATTAATTTCGTGACAGCGCTCTTTCAGATCATGGCAGATGCTACTCATACGACCACAAAGCCTCAGGGTTTGGGCGTGGAGAGGGTGGTGCTTGTCTATTCATCAAGCGCCTCGATGATGCTATCAGTGCAGGTGACCCAATCCATGCAGTGATCCGAAGTTCTGCTTGTAACCATGGCGGAAGATCTGAGGGTATCACCATGCCCAGGAGAATGGCACACGAGATTCTCCTTAATAGAGTTCATGACGCTGTTGGCCTGAGCCCGGATGAAACTCCCGTAGTTGAGGTAATGCCCCTCGACAAGCTCCTAAGGCTAACTAAGATACTGACATATTGAAATAGGGACACGGGACTGGAACTGCAGCGGGGTAAGTGAAGCATTTGACAGAGTGTTATTGAATCCTCACTTACAACATTAGTGATCCAATCGAGGCTGGAGCCTTTGCAGCAGTTCTTGGGAAGAACCGAACGGAGGCAAACCCACTTTACATTGGATCTGTGAAATCAAACTTTGGGTAGGTTCATCTACCCCTCATCGCGCTATCTGTTGGACTGACATATTCGTAGGCATCTTGAAGGTGCAAGTGGCATTGTTGGTATTGTCAAGGCAATATACATGCTTAAAAACAAAGTCATTTTGCCCACTGCAGGGTTCGAAAAGATCAATCACCGGATTCCAGGGAAGGAGAAGATTGTGGTAGCACAACTGCCTATTCCTTGGCCTGAGACCGAGAAGAGAAGAGTTCTTGTCACCAATTTTGGTAAGTCCCGGTGTCTTGTTCGTAAATGATGGATAAAATCTAATATTTTGACATAGGATTTGGTGGCAGTAATGCGGCCGTCTTGCTCGAGGCAGCCCCTGAGCATGTGACGAACGGCACTAATGGAACTCATATCAATGGAAACGGCGTTGCTACACCTGAGAACCCCCTTCGTCGTCTGTTTGTCTTCTCCGCAAAGACAAAACAAAGTCTAACGGACTATTTGACATCATTCGAGAGCTACCTTGCGGAAGTTCCCGAGTCCAGCGAATTTGTCAAGAACCTTAGTTACACTCTTGGCCAACGCCGTTCGCATCACGCCCATCGCGCCGCTGTTATTGCAGATTCGGTTGAGGATCTCCAAGACAAGGTCGCATCGGCCAAGCCAATTAGAGCGAGAGACAAAACCGTTGCGTTTGTGTTTACGGGACAAGGAGCCCAGTGAGTTTCATCGGCGCACTCTAGTGGTATACTCTTCCATGTGGCTAACTCAGGACTAGGCATGCCCAAATGGCTTCTGGCCTCCGCCATTACAAAGTGTTCTCTGAGGCTCTTGATAAAGCTGAAGAATATCTCAAGTCAATGGGGGCGACATGGTCCTTGAACGAGGAACTGTCTAAGCCAGCAGCGGAGTCTCGCATCAACAGCGCTGAGATCAGTCAGCCAGCTTGCACTGCTGTCCAGTTGGCCTTAGTGGCTCTTCTTACCAGTTGGGGCATCAAGCCATCTAGAGTCACTGGTCATTCAAGTGGTGAAATTGGTGCTGCATACTCGGCTGGCCTAGTCAACTTCAAGACCGCCATTGCGCTGGCCTTTTTCCGTGGACAAGCCGCCGCGAAGCTCATCAGTCAACAAGCCCATAAGGGAGCTATGTTGGCTTTGGGGGTTGGCTTTGATGATGCCTCTGCGCTCATTCAGAAGCATGCTGATGGTGCCTATGCCACTGTCGGAGCAATCAATAGTCCTCAGAGTGTCACCGTTTCTGGCGATGAGTCTGCGATCAACAAACTTCAACAAGCCGCCGAGAAGGATGGTATCTTCAACAGAAAGCTCAAGATCGAATTAGCCTACCACTCTCGGCACATGCAAGCCGTGGCCGATTCTTATCTTGACGCCATCACTCCATTCTATGAGGACAACACGACCTTGGTTGGAAAGGAGGATCAACTCGCCCAATTCTTTTCCTCGGTCGTTGGCCATCTGGTGGAACCCGAATTCGTTGATGCTTCATACTGGGTCAAGAATTTGGTTCAGCCTGTGAAATTCTCGGATGCTCTTCAGTCACTCTTGACAAGTTCAGAGAGTAAGATCGCGACTGGTCAAGTTCAACCTAACCTACTTGTCGAGATCGGACCCCATTCCGCCCTCAAAGGCCCCATTAACCAGACGGTAGACCTCGTGCGCCAGGTCAGCAACCAAGGGAAAAAGATGGTATTCAACTACCTTCCATCTCTGGTCCGTGGATCAGGGGCCGAGGATACATTGCTTGCCCTTGCCAGTGATCTTTACACCCTTGGGGCTAAGATTTACTTAGGAGGTGTGAACCAGACCGACATAAATAACGCCGAGGTTCTTACTGAGCTGCCCGCATACTGCTGGGATCATTCAACACATTATGAGCTCAGACCTCGTATGGTCAACGAGATTCTCTTCCCAGGAGATCCATATCATCCTATTCTTGGGCGTCGAGCCAACACATCAGGAAGCAATGAGCGCACATATCGACAAGTATTCACCCTCGATGAGCTTCCATGGATTCGTGACCATGGTGTGGCAGGCACTGTTATATTCCCCATGACAGGCTACCTCTCGTGTATTATTGAGGCGGCCCGGAGAAACGCTGTGACAAAGCCCGGCGCATTTGTCATCCGAGATTTCCATGCCGTCCGTAGTCTAGAAGTCCAAGAAGAGCAGTCAGTCGACATAGCAACGAAGTTGAAGCCCGTTTCTATGGGCCCAGGCACGTTCTCAACAACTGCCTGGACCTTTGATATTTCAACTTGGACCGAAGCAGGTGGCTGGACCATTCACTGCTACGGCCGCATTGAGGTTGAAGCTGCTGAGATGACTTCTGAGAGCCCAACTATGAAGGATTCGCTCGCTCTCGTCGATACTCCAGGTTTGATTGAACACGATATTGCCTGGGCGTATGCTACTGCCGGGGTTCGTGGCACAAACTATGGCCCAACGTTCCGCAATACTGTTAAATTCTTTGAAGGCAAAGGATTCACGGTCATTGAACAGCAGCTGCGCGATGGAATTGAGCCTAATTCATACGGGTCACCTGCCGCTGTTGATCCTCCTACGCTTGATGGCTTTTTGCAGGGTGGTGGTTCTCTACAGGAAGTAGAGGGCAAACGGCGCGCCCAAATGCCAAATTATTTTAGCCGCTTGCGTGTTTCAAACTCAATGCCTGCCGAGGACAAGCAGAAGTACACTATTGTGACTCGTATGTTGAACAACGATAACAAGGGTGGCCGTATGCAGATCAGCGTTGCTGCCTTTGCCAAAGGTGCTGATGGCTCTCTAACTCCTGTGGCTGAATGGGAATCTCTTTCGTTCCGCGCGATATCTTCAGCAGAGGATGATGACGAGTTTACTGAGATTCCCGAAAATTGGTGCTGGGAGCTGGTTCCCCGGTTTGACTTCCTCTCACAGGAAGAGCTCATGAAGAGCCTTACCGTTGGCGATATTGGCAATACGGCACTTATTCGTGGCCAAAAGTTGGGTCACGTCGCTAGTTACTACATCGACCAGGCTCTAAAGGCCACTGCCAACGATGACTTCTCAGGTCTTCCTCCCCACCTTGCTCGTTTTACCAAGTGGGCAGCGAAGGCAGTTGCTCGAGAGAGCTATGATCTCAGTGTTAAGCCAACAGCATTGCTGGAGGAAGTCATGAATGAAGACGCCCAAGGCGAATTACTGTGTAAGATTGGTGAAAACCTTGTCCCAATCCTACGAGGAGAGATCCAGCCCCTTGAGATTATGCTCAAAGACGGTCTGCTCACTAGGCACTACGAAGCCGATTCATCCAATGAACACTTCAGTAAGGTGATTGGTGATTTAGTTCTCAATGTCTCAGACCTTGAACCCAATCTGCGCATTCTTGAAATCGGTGCGGGAACTGCTGGCACCACACTTCACGTAATGAATGCCCTTTCGCGAAACAATGAAGAAGGTGCTTTTCTCAACTGGACTTTCACTGATATCTCGGCTGGTTTCTTCGAAAATGCTCGCGACAAATTGTCTAAATGGGGCAACAAAATTATCTACAAGAAGCTTGATATTAGCCAGGACCCTGTAAAGCAGGGCTTCAAGCTTCAGGACTACGATATCGTCATCGCCTCCAATGTGTTGCATGCTACAGCGGACATGAGGGAGACTATGACCAATGTGAGGAGCCTACTGCGGCCTAAAGGTATGGTCGTCCTTCTTGAGGCTAATCGACACCCTCCCCCAACATTGCCATTTGCTCTTCTTCCGGGATGGTGGTACGCAATAGACGAATACCGTGACCAGGAAGAAGGTCCTCTCCTTACCGTGGAGAACTGGAATCGCGTCTTGGTCGACGTCGGATTTTCAGGAGTTGACACCGCAATCCAAGACTATCCTGGCTCACCAAACCAAATGATCAGTGTCCTCAGCTCCACAAGAATTGGCAAGCGGGATGATACGCCACAAATCACCATTTGCGGGCCGTTCATCGATGAGGAGGAGGTGGAATTTGCCCAATCTGTGGCCGATTCCATCTCGGACCAATTTGATGCTTCTGTCTCCCTAAAACCATTTGCTGAAGTGGACTCCGTTGATGATCCATTCTACATCTTCATAGACTCTCCTAAACATACGCTGCTTGAGAATGTTACAGAAGAGACCTTTGATCTTCTCAAGACCATGCTGCTCCGCAACAAGGGCCTGATGTGGGTTGTCCCTGAGGGTGGTGCCCCCGAATCCAGAATCATTCGCGGCTTGCTCCACACTTTGCGCCTTGAGGATCAAACCAAGCATATGTTGCTGTTTGAAGACGTCCCTCTGGTGGCTCAAAGTCTGCCTAGCATTGTGAAGCTGGCCAAGATCATGCAAGATCCTGAGATATTCGAGGGTGAGGACCAAGACTTCACGTGGCATAAGAACTCTATCCACCTTCCTCGCATGAAGCAATTGAGAGATGTGAAGGAGAAGTTTGCGGTTGAACAGGGAGTCTCTGTCAAGACAGTGCAGAAGATGTGGCAGCCTGATTCATCACTGGAATTGACAATTGAGGCTGCCGGTAGCCCCGATTCTCTGTACTACCACAGGACCAATGTCCTAACCGAGCCTCTAGGTGATGATGAGGTCTTGATTGAAGCGGAGGCTACTGGTCTGAGCTACCGTGACCTTAACATTATCTTTGGCTATATCCCTTGGGCACCTCCGGGATATGACGGTGCTGGAAAGATTATCAAAACTGGCTCCAAGGTTTCCAGTCTCCAGCCGGGCGACAGCGTCTTCTATCTCTCGCTGGAGAAGAGTGCCTTCGCAACTCATAGCAAACTTCCCGCAGCTCATGTGGCTAAGGTTCCTGCTGGACTCAGTAAAATCGACGCCGCAGGCTTGCCAATGGCGTACTCGATCGCCATCCTTGCCCTTCTGCGCATCGGACGTCTGCGAAAGGATGAGACTGTTCTCATTCACGCTGCCGCCGGCGCAGTTGGTCAGGCATGCGTTGTTCTTGCCAAGCACCTTGGGGCTCGGATCTTCGCTACTGCCGGTACTGAGTCTAAGCGAGATTTCCTACATGACACATTTGGCATTCCCAAAGAACAAATTTTCTCCAGTCGCACCACTCAGTTCCGCGATAGCATCATGTGCGCTACAAAAGACAAGGGAGTTGATGTCATTGTGAACTCTCTAAGTGGAGAGTCCATGCTTGAGACATGGGCACTGGCCGCCAGCTTTGGGCGATTTATCGACATTGGAAAGAAGGATGCTTTCCAGAATAGCACTCTTCCAATGAGACCATTCGACAACAATGTCACATACAGCGGTGTCGACCTGCGCGAACTTTACAAGCATCGGCCAGAAGAGCTGAAGGAGGTGTTCGCGGATCTTGTGACTCTCCTCAATCGCAACATCATTAAGCCTATCGGCCCTGTGACACTTGTCCCCGCCTCTGACCTCCAAAGAGGTCTACGAAAACTCAGATCTGGTGACCACATGGGTAAGATTGTTGTTACTCTAGGCAAGGATGAATCAGTCCTTGCGGAGAGCGCTCTGCAGCCTACATCAGTGCCATTGAAGTCTGATGCCACATACCTGATCACAGGAGGAACTCGTGGTATCGGTCTGTCACTTGCATATTGGCTAATCGAGAATGGAGCCAAGAACATCGTCGCATTGGGTCGAAGCGGTGGTTCTGGGCCTGAGGTTCAGAAGCTGTTGGAGAAGTACGACGGAACTGATGTTACTGTCAGGGCTTATGCGTGTGATGTTGGCTCAAAAACGGACCTTCTCCAGGTTGTGGAATCAATCAAAGACCTCCCACCAGTCAAAGGTGTTATTCACGGTGCTCTTATCCTGAGCGTAAGTTCTTCCCATTATAAATCTCAATCGTGTGCATGAACACTAACGTTGAAAAAGGACAAATTGCTTGAAAATGCTACGTATGAAGACTGGAAGATCGTCACGGGTCCACGTATCCAGGGTGCATGGAACCTGAACGATCTGCTGCCTGATCTTGACTTCTTTATCGGTCTGTCTTCATTCTTGGGAGATACAGGTAATATTGGTCAGAGTATCTATGGAGGCACTGCTGTGAGTAAATTGACAACAATGACACTCCGAGAAAGTCAGGCTAATCCTTTATCAAGGCATTTTATGAGTCTTTTGCCCGATACCGCAACGCCCGAGGGCAGAATACCGTCTCCATCGCCCTTCCAGTAGTCCTTGATGTCGGTTATGTCGCCTCAAATGAACTCACGGACAGGCTTAAGGCGACTCTTGGTGCGACATTGAGGATGTCTGATATCTTCGCCATGGTCAAGAGTGCCATCCAAGGCCAGGCCACGTCGCCCATCTACACGAATGGCAAGGCAACTGCATTTAAGATGGCGCTGAACGGTCAGTCCATTGAAGATCTCCCATGGACCTACTTCCATCCTGTTCATATCAAGGCTCGTCTTGCTGCCGGTGCAGATGATCAGAATGCGGCAGGCGGCTCGGGTGTTGACCACTCCGCCTCATGGACATCAGCTTCCGACCCGCTGGTTGGCCTGACTGAAGCTCTGATCACAAAGGTTTCCGCCATGACCATGATCGAGCGTAGCGAGATTGAGCCCGACGCCCCTCTGGCATCTCACGGCCTGGACTCTCTCGTTTCTGTCGAGTTGCGCAATTGGATTCGTAGAGAAACCTCCGTCGAGCTGGCACTCACAACTATTACTCAATCGGCTAGTCTCCACGCCTTGGCATCACATGTACTTCTTCAGATTCCTAAGGCTTAATTTAGTTGATATAGTTTAGATTCTCTCTATTTTAGTAATTATCGATGTCTACAGTGATTGGGTCGCGGGGGGTTTAACTACTACGGGTAGGGTCTCTGATGTTATGTTAGATATCAAACAGAGACATGCCGTCTACTCGCGTACTGTTTGGTCAAGCTGAGTTTTAGAATTATTGGATTATCATTCAAGAAAATTCACTCTATTGTAAGGATTTATTAATGACTTGCAAACTCCGAGTTTATTTTCTGTGATATCGAGGTAAACTTTCCCATCGAGTGAGAGTGCTCGCCCAGATATAGGGTAAGTACAAATGTAGGAGGTCTTAGCAATATCAAACAACCTTAATCTTGCAACCAAATCAAGCTGTATCCAGTATTTCTTAATTACCAACGGTGCTCCTGTCACAGGGAGAAGAGTCAGCGACCCAGCCCATTAGACGGTTGGCAATATCACTGGAGTAGCAAGGGTTCGAGCGGCCTTGGCCCAGGTTCCCAGAAGGTGGCATGACGCCAGAGTTGTATAGAAGGGCTCCCTTGTAGTATTTGCTGACATCGCTAGCGCCGCTTCGTGCTACAGTCTGCTTAAGACCGTCGCTGGTGGTGAGGCCGACACCATCGGTGATCATTCCTTTAAGTACGGGCTCAGTCAGTAACTAGTCGGACTAGATTTTCAAAATGGAAAGATCGAAGAAGCTTACCCTTGATCTGAGCATCGGGGCAGGGGACCAGTTGAGGGATACCGGCATCGATGTCGTTGCAAGTGTGGTCACCGTTGAAGCACTGTAGAAGACCTGGGTTTCGGTATCCCTGAGTGGACGAGTAGGAGGTCTTGACGCGCACGCACATAGCTGATTCCTGAACAACGGCAGCGAGGATGAACCGGGCGTCGAGACCGGAGTCGGATGCAGCTTGCTTGATGGAAGCCTTGAGCACAGTGTTCTCAGCATCGCTGTTGGGGGTAAGTCCTAGCCATTTGCAAGCACCAGCGGATTGAGGGATGTTAACATCCCAACTGAAGACACTAGGTTAGTTTGGTTATACAAGACAAGGTATGGAGTGATGATTCAATGTACATGGTGTCAAAGCTAGCCCAGTCGGAGGTGTTGGGCCAGCCCTTCGCAACAGTGCCATCACCCTTGTATGTCTTGTAAGAAACAGCTCGGGGCTCTAGGGGAGTTGCTTGAGAGAGGCCAATGAGGCTGGCAGCAGCAAGAACGAAGGGTGTGGTAGCGACCATGATGAAAGATTGACTGGATGAACGAACGGTGGTTGTCGATGTGGTTGATAAACACACTGAAAGAAGCTGATGAATACGATATATATGTACGCACGACATTTGTATTGCCGGCTGGCTTACTCCTTCAATCGAATCATCGAGTTGGCCCGATGTCTCACCAGTTCGAAACGGGAAACTTGCGCAGGACAACGGGTAACAGGGGCGATGAGGGAAAGGACCGGGGACTTCACGGACCGCAGCGTCAGCAGGACTCACAACAACATCAAACTCAACCGAACCAGCAATCTGATTGACTGGAGAACGATGTGTCTTCCCGAAACAGTCCATCGCCCCACTGACATGACACAAGTGGGACAGGAATAGAGCCCATGTCCTAGAATCTGATGCCACGATCAACCGATTGAGTGAGCCTTCAAGGCCGGGGAGATCAGCGTACTAACTACTGGGCGCGGATGGCGCCCCATTGGGCCACTGGTGACTCGTGTTAGGGGGGATCAATAAGGCTCAGACGGGACGAGAGGCACAGGCTCAAGGGTTGAAACATCGGCCGCGGAAGACATTGGCTGGTTAGGGCCGCGCAAGCCCCTATTTATTGGAGACGCCCTGGGGTTCTTCAGCCCATGTCAAAGATTCGGGCTCAGCTCTTACGTGATAACAACCCGAACCCTCACTTTGTTCTTCATGATCCGAGACTCTTGCTCTATTTGGCCAAGGATTTGACAGGCGGCCGCCCGGTAGGTGGTAATTCCCGCGTGGAGCATCCATCCTATCATCACCAGTTTCTGCAAACAGCCACGACTGAGACCACGTGCATTACCTGTGTGGTTGGAATTAACCCAATCGTAGCTAGTCTTGTCAAGATGATGCAAATAACTGTAGTTTCTACAATTCACTGTGGATATTGCCACCAGTGACTAATGGAGGTTCCCCTTTTCTAAAACCTGCTCAAATGTCACAAGTGGTCTAAACAGCTCATCGGTCCAGCGAGTACCTGTATCTGGGAATTTCAACTATCCTTTGATTCTATTCTCCGAAGTCGGCAGTACGGGGTAGAAGCTCATCTGCCTTCAAAGCAATTTGTTTCTTATTTATTGATCTACATCTTTGTCAAATTCCGTTTCTTTTCTTCTCAATCTAATGGAAACAGAGCCCGTCCAAAGTGGTTTTCACTAGAAGGACAACCCTTGCAGAAATCCTTCCCGGAAGAAACGCAAATTAATATACGTTGCACCGGTGGGTTCCATTTCCAAGAGGACTGAGATCCTCCCAAATGACCCCGGAATCAACAGCCGGGACCGAATGTTCCGACCGGTATGTACTTTTGCTTTGGGCATCAAGAGCCACCACTATAGGTGTTTGACATTTCCCATCACCCAGATATGAGGTCAAGAATAGTGTCGCTGATAGCGAGCTCAAATTATGGCCTCAATAGACAGTAGATGAACAGTGAGAGGCGTCTTGGCTGGCGACATACATAACATTCATCACCTTCCACTCATAGAAGAGACTCGCCGGGCTGTGTTCCACGGTTGGGGATATTATTCAGGTAGGATTTGATACATTCAGGGTTGCTAAGTACAAGCGGCGAGGCCAACTTCATCGCTCTGGGCTCCTATCCCTTACCCACATCCAAAGGGATCACACGTGCGAGAATCGTCGAGACATCACGCCACAACTCTTTTACATTAATTTAGACCATTTTATTTATACGAGATACTCGTGCTCTGCATTAAATCCGGTATCTAAAGCAGGGCTTTAAGATTCATATTAATCATCCACGCGGCTTGTGTGGGGAAACTTGCCTATGTCGAGGGGCAGGGAGGCAGCTATATTCAAGCCCGCCGCGTCTTTTGGCATGCAACGCAGGAATTTAGAGATGAAGAGCACACTAAATACGCTGTAGAATTTAATAAAACAAACTTCTCAGGCTGATTTGTGACAGATGTCCTCACCTTGCATTGTTAAATCAAGGCTACGAGCAACTACTCAGTACCTAGCTGCGAGCTGGATTGACGATTATGAACAAAATAGGATTAGTTTCGGCCAAACAATGAATCATTGCCACTAGGTAAGGAAATGAATAGATCTTCGTGACGTAAAGTTGCAAGCAAATCATCATCTATTTCCGCTGAGCTTTCCATGTTCTCAAGCAATGGGTACGGTACCTCGTTCTTGGATTTCCCACTAATCTCATCGGTCCCGAGCATGGATACCATTCGAAATTGATCAGGGAACAAGTACGAGACATCAAGCATAAAGTTAAAAAACAACAGAGGATGCCAGACCCGCCGATTTAAAACATGAAGGATCGGGTAGCACGACCTCGTAACAGGGTACAATTCGGTAGTATGTTTTCTTGTGTCTAGTTTCTTTCTTTCTCTCTCTTTCTCTTTTCTGTATTTGTATCCAAGAGTGGTCTTCTACTACTTCTGGAAGATTACGGAAGAAATAAGATCTCTTCCCGTGAAAAATACGTGAGGAATAAGGCCCGTCAATTGGCGTATTCCCCTTGCCCTCACGAAACAATGTATACCATAGGCGCTTGCCAAAGGAAGTCCCACAAAGGTGCCGAAAGTGAACAAGTACAGATCCCAATTGTTTTTCTTGAACCACGAGAGTCGCACATCAGCAGTCTCTAAATGCATTGGTCGGCTTGACATCTTCTTCTTGTTGCTTCGGCGGAGTTCATCATCGTATAAGACTTCTTCGACTAGATCGGCGGCCAAGTGCTTGCGTCTTGCAGCGACACGAGCTATCCGTCGTAGGCGGAGAACGTTCCGAGCAAAAGTGCCATCCTCGTCTTTTGTTATAAGGGCAATTCTTGAGGTGACCTCTTCCTGCGTGAAGTCAAATTTGTCTAGACGTAGCCCTACTCCAGCTTCTTCAAGTCGAACCGCGTTGCACAGTTGATCAAACATGAATGGGATCACTAGAGCTGGTTTGCCATGATAGGCAACTTCATTGGCGGAAGATCCGCCAGCGTGTGTGACGAAAATAGCAGTGTTCTTGTGATCTAGCACCGCTCTTTGCGGCGAATATGTAGGGAAGAACACAGAGCTCGCCCTGTTATCAAGGAGGTCGCCTAGGCGAAGCAAGTGTCCATTGACTTCTAGTTGCTGTTCCCGATCCAAATTCTCCCGTGTCAGTGCGGGCAAGGACCAAATAATGCCATCGATGTGACCTAGGATCAGGGACTGTATTAGGCCACGAAATAATTTCTCAAATACATCCTTCGGGAGGTTGATATGAGTTCCTAGCGCAACATAGGCCGTGCGGCTATGAGAGTCGAGGAAGGAACCGTGTGGCTGATCCAAGGTAAGAAATTCATCCGTAAGAATAGGTCCAACGGGAGAAATAAGTGGCGGGAGGTCTTTGGGAGTTTCAAGACCAAAGAAAGAGTTGACAAGGACGAGGCAATCAGGCCGTGTGCTAGCAGTGAGCTTTATAGGGCTAGGATAACGAACGCCCGCTTTCCTCCGAAGAGCGGTCAACCACCGAAGCCAGCCCAGGAAACTTGGTATCGCGCACACCATGACTAATTCATTTTTCAATCGAGACATTAGTGACGCATGCTCCGATGTTGTCGAGATGACAGCCTGAAAGCCTGGTTGGCCGGGGATATATGAAGCAGGTGCTAGCAAGAAAGGCATTTGCGGCCACATGAGTGCAATTGGGATGCCAAGCTCAGCCATCATGTCTTTTGCGGCCAATTCAGCGAAGAAGTCTGCAATTATGAAGGCTGGTCGTGTTTCTGGATCAAGGCAAATTTTTCTCAGGCCTTTATAAGTCACAGGGAAGAAGGAATCCCAGAGATATTTTGACTCCCACATCTCGCTTCCCACCCCTTTCTTGGCATCATGCCTCAGCATCCTATTCCAGTGCTCCCTATACTGTTCCTCTGTAGGACCAGGCCCTAGAGAATACACTCTTCTGATGAACGGGTAGCTCTTCACCCAATTTTCCTGGCCGTCGAGGGTTGCGAAATCGACAGTATGGCCACGTTCGGCCAATACCTGGCAGACATCTAAAACGGGAGCTGGAATTGTGAAACGCAGGAAGTCAATTTCTGGTTCTGGGGTAAAAGACGGATATTGAAATCCCTACCGGCGTGAGTGAAGCCACCTGTGGTGACCAATGCCAATATAAGCCGTTGTTCGCTTTCGTTCTGCATAGTGCTCGCTTGAATTGTTCGTTAATCGGTACTCATTTACATAGAAAGATTACAAGTACGAAAGCCATCGATCAAGGCATGTATATATATATATACGCGCGCGCGGCGCAGGATGGTCCACAAATCCGGCCTCCGGATCAAATGGGCAATGCTGCAAATCGTATGATTCGATGGACACGCCCGGAATTGGAGTGGGTTTCCTCCGTGGGTTTCTTCCGGCTAAGAAGATTCAAACAGAGCAGGGCGGTTACTTGGGGACTTTCCACCTTCGCTTTCTGAGCATGAAGAAGCTAGGGATCAAAAGTAGCGGACATGGTGTAGTGGAAGAGCCTTGAAGCGGCGGTTGTTGTCATAGTTCTAGTGTGAAGCCAGGTGAAAGAGAGCAGCTTAAATAGTCATTCAATGAACTGCCCAACCTGACAGCAAGTGAGTCATCAGTATGCATCTCCCATTGCTGTTGAAGACTTTGTACTTAAAGTCTATTACATCATAGTTCTGTCATTGGGCCTCTTTCATGGTGTGCTGCGCTATCTGGCAAATCTAGGTCACTATAGACCTTCAAGCTTTTCGGTCTAGTTTTTAACGCCGATCTTTATGGCCCATTTCTTCTAGGTATGGGTGATGGAGCGACAAGAAGAAGAAAAAGAGAAGAATAGAGTAAGAATTGCCACTTGAGCTTTCTAGATATTGTAGATCCGTTTGACTTGACGTGTTAACGCATGTCAAACTGTCAATCACGCAGCATCTGTGAGCTAGATCTAGTGTTGAAAGATGGCTCTCAATCATGGTGGCGGCAGTCATACACATGCTAGATAAATATTGCTGATGCGTGCCACGTCACACCATTATTAACATGGAACGCTATTCCTTCATTGCTATATTCGGAATACAAGTCTACAGAACCTAGTCAGTCATTGTCTGTTCTTCTGAGAATGGCGTGTTACACGAAAAATTGCGAACTTGCAGCCATTCATGAATCAAGCGTGAACCAGGTGACTAGGAGCAATCACGCAGCATCTCCCAGCTATATAATCCTCAGGGGCCAGGTCCTGGTTGGAAATTAAATCCACTTCTTCTCCATCAACCTGGATCATAAATCCCAGTCTAGCTTACCACCAATAACCAATACTTGAGCGGCCTGCCCCCAATTCGACATTACTACAAGATCAATATTCAAGATGTCACTCAAGAAAAGTTCCAATCCCCCAGAAAGGCCCTCGACGCCTTACCCACCTTTCGACCCCAAACCGAAGCTCAGGGGATGCTCTGGCCTTGGTTTCCAGTAAATTATCTCGAGATCAATCAAGGTATGCGATCCTAGCATGAAGATCTCACGGTTCTAAGCCTTCATAGTTTGAATCTACGAAGGTTGCATTGGAAGAGGATGCTCAAATGATATTCAGTCTTTAAATCATGGAACGTATTATTTCTATGCCAGATAAGATAGTTTGAAAGTTTATTCTTTGATCTATATGGCCTTAGGCCCTTAGCTTGAGATTCTACTTTCCTAGGAATCAATAAACTGAATTAGAAGCCATTCTACAACGTAGGCATTTCTTGAGGTTGATATATGCTTTAAGAGTAGCTTTCAGCCGACTACAAAATGATCGGTAATATCCCCAACACTCTCGACATACGTTCATAGCGGGTAAACTCAGCCCTATAATTGCGATACACAGTGAATAGGTCTAACAGAGGCTAACGGATGAGATACGTAAAACATTATTTGCCCCAAAAGAGAACGGTTTCATATGGGACGAAATGCCTCCTTGCAAATTGTAGTGATTACGCCTATAAGCAAAGGCGGGGGGAATCTTTCTGACTAAAAAATCAAGTGATGGCAGAGATTATTCTATACTGAATCACGGACAGATGTCATTTAATCAGATACGAATTTTACCCTTCGCTTATCTCTATTTTACACATAAGTCACTCATTTTCCGAGCTTCTAGTAGATGATGTCTGTCGTTCAATAAAGCTAGTAGTTTCGAAGTGATTCACATATCAGTAATCCAAGCCCCTTAATTCGCGAACAGTCCGTGGCCAAAATCCGCGGTCCACCGATCAAGATAGCGTTGTAGTTCACACTAGACACGGCGTCAAAATTACAAATCGCGATGATCAAAAAGGAGAGTTACATGAGGCAGGGACAGATCTCCTCCTCGAGCCAACTACGCTGCACAATGTGATAACCCAACCCAAAACAACCCCCGCACGAGCCACCCTCATTCCATCCCCTCGCATTACAGTCCGCGCATGAAGGATAAGAGAGGTCATACTTGAAGAATTGGTATGTGCCGTTGCCCTGGCAGGTCGGGCAGTTCGGGTCAGCCCAAGTGACGTGTGACATGGCTTCTATTGATTGAGGTCACAGCCGAAATGGAACGAAATACTTGCAGAATAATATCGATATTCGAATCGACGAGTAGGATTTGATTTTTGCGAATAGTTATGATCTTTACAGTAGCTGTCGCGCTAGCTTTGCGAGTTTTCGAGATTAGTTTGGAAAGAGAGATCGGCACATAGAGTCGCTTGCCTTTAAATAATGGGACAACAATATGTGATTAAGAAACAGATATGAAGGACTTCGACACTGTCTGGAACTCCTTAGCATCACGCACACTAGCTTCTGTGATAGTCAACCACAAGTTATAACATTTGCAAATAAATAACGATGCTACGAACGGGTCACATACATACTAAATACTCTCTCAAGTGGTCTTTCCCATTTGGGTTCCATTCACAGCGATGTTTAGGCTACACGGCCAGACTATGAAAAAAAGTGAATCAAGTCATAGGATTTGATTTGACCTTGGTGAGAACCGCACCAATTCGAAAATAACCTGAACTTTCTGCCCTCCAGTTGCAACTATCGAATCATTTGAGACGATACGATCAAAATCTACAGGCGCTTTTCTCTTTGCGATTGAAATATTTTAAAAAAACTGACATCCCTTTTTGTGGAAGGTTTGATTCATTTTAATAAATCGCCTGAATCCCCGTCATTCTTTCTTCTTCCGGATCTCTTTCATTCAAATCAGTGGGTTTAACGTTGGATGGGCCGAGTCATGAATATCTCGCTGCTACAACACTTTACCTTGATTACGTCGTCGGACCTGTCCAACATATTGATACTGAGAGCGCCCTTCTTGGCGTAGCCACAATGAACGATACCCTCATTGCCTCAATGTGGGGTGTAGAGGATACGTAACTATCTAGTCCATTTGTAGAGCTTTCTTCCACGTCCCTTTGACAAGAGGCGCTCGAGTTCAAACGATGTAGTTGAGGCGTGGCGCTAAGTTGGAGGTTCTGCCCAAAGCCAGGCTACGGGCATTGCTATCCACCCAATAGTAATTCCTTCCGCTCTTTCACGGCATATATCATAAACAAAAAGTTCTATGAGCCAGGTAGCTTCTTCTAGTGCGGTGAGATGATAGCTGCTGTGGCTTTCCGCCAACGAGACCATCCCTGGCGCGATGGCGGTGGATGTCCGTTTTCGGCAACTCCGCATTTGTAGGTCACGGAAAAGGTTGGCTCATCACCCCTCCTCAATGGAACTCAGTATCCCGTCATTATTAATAATATCTGACCACTGAGATCGAGGCTTCGTTTGAGGAATGCCGTATCCCGGTTTTCAAGCCAGAAAATATTAAATATGCTGAGCCGCCGCCTTTGATGGCTCATCTGCTCCTGGCCTCATATCGCTTCGTCGCATATCCTCACGCCGCCTCGCCATCAGAGAATAATCATGGCTGTCCCTGTTCATATCATTCCCATCGCTTCATATGCTATGCGAGCCGCGCCCGCACACGCTTGGAGCGATACGTCATCACGTTCTGACACCTCAGAGTCTGCCACGCAGAGCGAAGGATTGAGCAAGGCGCTCTACATTCCCTATCATACCAACAAAACCACCCATCTACCTCTCTATGATATAACGGATCAATACACTGCGTCAGTGGGGGATCTTCCGATTGGTTCCCCGAGATACAAAGCCCAGATCCGGTTGATGAAGAAGCCATCAGGCAACTCGCTCGAGGGCAACGTCAAATATCTGATCGACTTTCACTGTCTGGAACGGAATGCCACGATTACCGAACGGACTATTGGTCGCGATGGAATAGAGGTTGATATGTAAGCATGCAGTTTGATATCGTGAAATTCTACACCACGCCAGATGCTAATTGTCGCTGGCCCAGGTCTCTTCCTGCGACCCTCGGAGAGGAATTCCGCCTTGGAGTCGTCGCTCCCCATCAGCAAGGCACAAACCGGGTAACAGCACACTACGCTTCAGAGCCCGAGAAGCCTAAAAGAAAAATGGCACCGCAAAATCCATCATTTGCGGTTCAGGGCGGCATCTCTAGGTCTTCGGCTCTTGAATGGAAGCCCTTCCCATTCGAACCTGGGTGCTTGACTTATGGCCTATTCGATTCACTCTCCTCGATGGACGTCACTGAGGCTGAGCCCCGGGCCCTGTATCAACACTGCCGCCACGAAGGAGACTTTGTGGTCAGTGGCCACAGCGAGGGTATTCTTCTTCTCGCGGGCAGTGAACACCCTGAAGACGAGGCTCTGATCGTGTCCAGCCTGGTTGGGCTTCTGTGGGATCTGCGCTGCGACAGGGCAACGGCGTCAAAAAGAAGAAAATCCATCTTCAAAAACATGTTCAGGACGAGTTTGTAATTTGGAGGCGAGCTCACTCACTCTGTGTGGAAAGTCGGAAGTCTCCTCAGCGTGTTCAACGTCGGCAGTATATCATATCGGAAGATGCATTGGGGGACAGCCCGAGAAGTTTGACGTTTGAGATTGGAAAAGTCATTTATTATACCCTTGAATCGAATTTATGTGTGCGCATTTTCTTTATTGACGCGGTCTGCCAACCTGCAATGTTTAAATACTTTCAAAGCTTCCGTCATTGACATCCATAGTAGTCCATTTGTTCTTTGTTGATATCGCTAGACGGAGGTACACCCTCGCTAAAAATGCAGTTTAAGGGCCAATAGTCCAGAGACACGTGAAACGCGCCGTAAAACTCGTTTTCAATAGCACGCTGTAGATATTACTGGTCACCTGACTCTTCCCCTCATCCCTTCAACATCAATCAGGACATCTGATTATCACAACTCAGAAGCACATCTTCATTGATCCGGCTTGACTACGACATGCCACAAACTCGTGTAAAGTCCAGGGACACTCTAGGGATTGATCTGGACGATGGGCGTGTCTTGTTCCTCCCTGGTGGCACCATCACCGGCACGATCTTCCGACACCAAACGATAGTTTCAACCGAAGCATCCATCAGCCTTGTATTTCGTGGACGGACTAAATCAATTTTCCTGGTTAGCACCGGCCAGACCACTGTCGTCTATCGCGGCCGGTTCACCCTCATCAATATTTCGCAAGAAATATTTTCTGGCCCTCTGCACATCCCCAAGGACAGCCATCCGCGGCGGGAATGGAAGTTCACGGTAGAAATACCACAGAAGATTGATCCCAGCCTCTTGCCCAAATATAAAGCACACGAGTCATTCATAGATCCAGAAATAGTCGACACATTAACCCTTCCGGCTTCATTTGTCAGCCTCCATGGAGCGGACCAAGCTTTTATTGAGTACTACCTAGAGGCCAAAATCAGGTTTCAAAAAGACCGGTCATGGGTCGAGGAGACTGCAAAAATGCCCATCCGCATGTTGGCCCATTCTCGTCCACCAACCCATCCCGCTTCAGCCTCCTTCCTGAGCATCCCGAGATCCGTATCGTCGCAAAGGCTTCTGCCTGGCATGGAGAACGCTCACTTGACTACTGGACAAAAATTTAAGAAGCTTCTGGGTGCATCCTCAGTCCCGGGGCTGACATTCCACCTGGAGCTGGTTATTCCAGATGAGATCTATGTAAATCAACGCCCAGTCCCGATCACGATGCGAGCAGTGCCCTACTGGCCGTCGACACACGAAGCCCTTAAGAACCAGCCACAGAAGGTTCGCCTGATCAACTTCAAGGCTACATTGGAGTCACGCTGTGCCATTCTCTGCGAAGGGTATTCCTGGGCAATCAGTAAAACCAGCTGGAAAGAGAAGGCGGTCTTGCCAACAACCAATCAGAGTCTCTTCACTACCATCGAGATTCCCTTCTCCTCTGATGAGCCGGCGATCAATATCGGCCAAGCACTTGACTTGTGGGTGGAGAGCGAGGGCAAAAATAGTGCAGTGTTTCAAGACTTCACCACGTTCAACATCACTCTAAAACACAAACTTAACTGGGTCGCGAAAATTGAGATTGCGCAGGAGACTATCACTTTCAATGGAGTCCAGAATATTACGATTCTACCGCCGATTGGCAGCTCCTCCGCGCCTGAATACATTGAATCCGAATTTCTACCGGAATATGAAACAGATACGTCGATAGACGCGGTTGACCAAAAGGGGAAACCACCAAGCTTTGAAGAAGCGCAAGGAATCGAGGTAAAGTACAAGAATACCAGCCAGGACAAAGGACTCTGATGCTGATCGCCGTCCAAGCGGTATTAGCGAGAGATGGAACGAGTCGCATGCGATCACGTTCTGGCAAGAAATGAGGAGCGCATGTGTGGTAGGAATCATGATAGCTTTTATAGTTAAATCTAGGTATATGTAAATTTGAAATATCTTTCCACTAATATAAGCATCTATTTAACACAAATAAATTTGGGGTCTTAACAGCCGACTTTTAATACAATTCGAAGCCATACATGACGGCCGTGACTAGTGGCCATTGTTTCTCGGAGTTAAGCAGAATTCCAAAGAGTGGCCTACACTTTTTGCTCTGCTGCGGGTTCTGTTCATCGCCCATTTCCCGGTCAAGCCAAAAAAGACATGTCATAACTCCCCCTAAATTTTCCCACGGATAAGATTGCCAACCATTTCTCGAGCTGTAAGTGCGACAGTGCGGTACAGAGTAGGGAAATCTAGGGTGCTGGTGAAGGTATCCGCGAATCCGAAAAACAGCATTGGTGGGATCCATCCGCTTGCAAGCTCAAGAGCAAAGCAATGGTCCGGGCATTTGTATTGCTTGACGTGTCCGCGCTTCAGGTGGTGTACAGATCCAGGAGGGTAGATCTCCGGCTCGTACTTTCCTGGGACGTATGCTCGCTCTTCGCCGGTAAGAATGTGAAAGTAGTCGTCGGCGGTGTGGCGGCCAGAGTGGCCCTCAGTGCCGAGCGGAGTGCCATAGATGATGAGGTATTCGGTGAGACTGGCATGAATGATGTACATGCCGCCCATGGCGCTCCCGTGGTTATTAAACATCCATTCGGAGGGGTCGTCGTGTCGTGGGTTCACGGCTGAAGGATACTTCTCGTACAGCTCGCTGACGATATATTTGACGATAGCATCCGTGTCATTTCCATGCTCATAGATGGCCCTCTTTGACAGGTCATGCATGTAGGGCTTGTCGAAAATATAGAAGCTCTCCAAGTTTCTATCGATCAAGTAGACGGCGACCGATAGAAAGCCAATTACGGCCCCCAGGATTGTTGACCAACGAGGCATTATGTAAAAGGAAGAACTGGCTTTTGATACCGGCCAGTGTTGAGAATGAAAATAATAAAGAAAATCCCAGGTTATTGAACCACGAAAGCAATATTGAAAACCGTATAATAGATGCTTTTGCGTGCTTGATATCAACTGATATGGCTGTGTTATTCGGGCTCGGTGCCCGCGGGGGTCCGGCCGGAAGCTCGCTGAGCCGGATCGAACCATCCACCCACGGCGATGTTGGATACGAATACGGCCTTGAATTGTAAGCCCGACTTCCCGCTGATTTTTGCCAAGGATCGGAGAGTTGCATAGGCCCATGTTTAGCTTCTCGGGAGTCGAGTTGCCGTGCAATAATCGTTGCTTCATTGGTCATCATACCCGCACCAGGGTCGCTAGAGCTCGGAGATTTGAGCCACCCCACGGACTGATTTGTCTCAGTTCGAGAAGTTCGAGGTGAAGCGGCCAGGGTACCTTCCTACTTTGAACTCAGCTGCTAAGCATGTCGGTAGAACATTGAGAAGAGAGATCTCGGTGCTGACAGAGCCACCGGAACGTGGTCATTCCGGTAATGTTGCACAGTACAGAGTGTTAAGACTAGCCTAATCCGTGTGTTCTTACGCTGAGATAAAACTTTTATTGATGGAGTAAAGTTCAATCCTAAAAATTCATCCCTCTTATTCGTATGGCAACGCTGTCAACGCTACAGTGGTGAATTACGCCATGACCCTTGAGCATCGTGATCCCAGCTGATGGTAAGCTTGATGAGAGTTTTATTTACTAGATTGGCCCGCTTGATCAGTTTTGCCCTTCACGACATGATATCCCAGTTCAATTGTATGCCCCTTCCCAGAGCTTCGAGCTTTCTTCTCCGTGCCAGCGTGAGCTCTCATCGCAATACTCCACCTGCTCCCTATAAAATATATTGCCCTGCGAGCACTCGGCTACCTTTCCCACGAGACTGGAGTCTTTTGCAAAATTGTCGAATGCCCGCATTATAGTAGACATGGGAGTTATATGTTCGCTCGGCATAACCTTCAGCAGAAACTCTGGTGCGAGGCCGGTTGGAACGAAGGCAGGGCAAATGCAATTCACCCTGATGTTTTCTTTCTGGAATACGGGGGCCACAGATCTCACCAGACCAATGATCTAAAGTTCTTGAGTTAGTTGTTTATGAATCATGCGGACAGGAAGACAAACGAACCCCATATTTGGCCGCGGCGTATTGAGGATTCGTCGGAAGCTTGTACAGCCCAGCGTTGGAACTTGTGAACACGATCGTCCCACCATCCCCTCCGTTCTGCCGAAAATAATGGGCAGCAAGATAAAGACAATATATCTGCCCATTCAAATCTATGTCAATCGTCCTCAAGTTAGGTTTTTGTGGTTCGCCTTCATTCTTCTCATATAAACTTTGGAAGTCGGCTACTCCAGCATTGGCGGCAACATAGTCGATCCGGCCAAATTTTTCAATCGTCTTCTTATACAGCGATGCCACATCATCCCAGTTTGACACATCAGTTTTGTGGAAGAAGGCTTGATCACCCAACTGCTCAGCTGCTCGCTGGCCACCCAATACATCGACATCGGCAAGCGTCACATTCCAGCCTTGCTCCGTGAATTGGCGAGATAGGGCTAGACCTATGCCCGAGGCAGCGCCTGTAATAATTGCAACTGGCATCGTTATTTTCAGAAATTAAAGTCGAGATGTAGGATTCAGAACTGGCAAGGTTAGGGTTTTCTTGGAAGAGCGGGATTTGTTGCAACTGCTCCGCATTATGGATCGTGCCAACTTGGTTGGTGGATCTTGACTATCGACTTGCCTCAGGTGACTCTTAAAATATCTATCAAGTGAGCAGCAGTGCTTCCTCGCTCCCATTTCTTTGCCACAAGTTATGAGGGAAGGAAAAATCCACGGCGTTGCTATTGGGATCACAGTTTAATCATCATCAAAGGGCGGAATGGCAGCGGAATATGGACAAGCTTGCGTAGCTGGCAATATCTACCTTAATTAAGGGCGTAGATCATAGACGCAAAGGGCACATATGAATCTCATTTAGCTGGGTAAAGTATTAGTAGCACATATAGCAACCGATACTAGAGACTTGAGGATCATAATCGACTAACAAACGTGTTTGCTATCGAAATAGGACAGGCAGCCTTATCCACGAAACAACTTGTCAGCTAACTTGACAATATGATTCAGCAAGTTCACGTGCCACATATGCTTTGAAAAAGCCCTGAGTCATAATCGATGCGCATAGATTCCCTCACAATCATATCCAAATCGTCACAACACTCAGTATACCTCAGCTCCCCAATCAGTGCTTAAATGTGATAGGGCTTGAGCTTTTCGGGTCCTTCGTATAGTCGTAATCACCTGGGAAGATATATTGGCCAAATACATCGGTTTTCTTCTTGTCTTTGCACACGGACTTGTCGGGGGTTTTCTGGAAGAGCGCTTTGCAGTAAACACTGGTAGATGAACTACACAATTATGATCCCTGTTAATTTCTGTCACTTCAAGGACTGTCGCCGTCAGAGGTGCCAACTCACAAATTCGTGAATTCAAGTTCGAAATAATCGCCGTCCTTGATTTTGGCTGTCTTGTAAGCTCCTGAGATAGTCCCTCCTTGGCCTGGATGGACGCCTTAGTCAGTAGGAAACTCGCCAATGATCAACGGGTTTCATTATCTGGTTATTACTCACGACTCTGTTGTTTACCGTCGACAGGAAACAAGCGTGCTCCAGTCCCACCTTTCTCCATGCTTCGCCATGGGAACTCCTCAGGACTGATGAAACCCTGTTTAATCACGCTAGTCTTCCGTAAGGTGGTGTCTTTGAAAGGCCCAAGCTTTGCTCCAGATTCGGTATAATGATCTTCTGCAGCTTTGACACCGCCAACAGCCTTTTGCCTGTCATCAAGGTTAGTTTTCCACAAATAAATCTACGGAGATAGAGGAAAACAATGAAAAGGATGAAAAAGATGATCCTTTGAGAGAATACTTACCATTTCTTCTCGCCATTGTAATCACATAGGATAGCATAACAGTCGAGCTCAGCAATATCTTGCCAGTTGTTAACGTCAACTTTGAGCGTTGGTGTTCCTGCAATCAAACTATTATTCTCAATCTCGGCAACAGGGGCCGCCAGAGCCTGGCCGATAATTGAGAGGGTGAGAAGTGTAAAGAGGGGTGCCATGTTGAAAATAAAAATGTAAAACAAGTAGTATGTTGTTACGGATACTTGATAAATCTGCCGGTTTATGTTGCGGTTGGATCTATCTAAGCATCATGGTCTAATGAAGGGCTTCGACTTAATTATATCTCATTCAGCTCCGCCAATACCCTTTCTTTCTAAAAGTCCATTCCAAGTCTTTACTTTTCAAAATAACCAAACGCGATATCTAACTGAGAAATACCAGTGTAGTCAGAAGTTCCCTTTCCCCTCAAGGGGGATGAAACGGAACTTTGGATGTTTTAGCATCGACTGTGTGATCTCGGATGAGGTGAAGCCTCGGCCAGTGCCACCAGTATTCCACAGGTTCATATGTATATCCAAGCCTTCAACAAGTCTACATCCATGTAATTACAGGCATAATTTATCACCATACTACAATCCTGCTACACATTTTGTCATCCGACACCAACTGAGCTCAGTCCCGAAACAATTGGCCTACCTCGGATCCACAGCGGCCATGATCTCGTCTGACCTCAACATTCATGATCTTTCAAGTCATGATTGGCATCTTGCAGTTCTTCAGCTGATGCCATTTCCCGAAGCGCTCATTCCAGCTATGATACCCATCATTGCAGGCTAGGAAACTATACTGAATATTAAGGGGTGAAGATCATGATCTTCAGCGCGAAGGTATCATGCCGGCTAGAGCAGTGCCTATAAAATTGTCTGCCGGGGCTAAATATACAGTGGCAAAATACCTAAGTCACTACCTAAGTAGTCGGCCAATCGGTGAAAGAAACTGTAGATCCTCAGGTATAGGACCACGACAAGGAATGCTCACTGACTGATGATGAGACCATGTTTCTCCATGCCGACTAAGCCACCAATAAGACAGCCGGGCAATTTAGTTAATGGGCCACCTTGCTTACCACCAATTGTCTCACTCCAGAAATCACAAGACGACCTAATGAGGCGCAGAAGCACTTGGAGAATGGATTTCTCTCTGACTTCCCATGTTTCTTGACAGACAGTGCGTGAAAAAAAGGGGCGTTTCAGCCAAATTCCCATCCCTTCCGCCAACAGAAAATCATTTACGCGTGATTCACGCGCTAGCCCTCCCCTTCAAAGTATTCATGCGCGACTGAGAGACCTGGGGCGATTCCGGATCTACAGCCTGCACCGACTGTCTCGCTTATGTATCCTCCAACCAGGTGAGATATCTTCTTTATAATCTTTATAATATCGGCCACTTGAAGAAGTGCTCCCACCATCATCATCAATCCGAGTCAAAGGAGAAAGCAGTTTCTCACATTTTGATCAAGTTTACTTGAATTATCGCATGCTGCCCATCGCTAGCAGCCACCAGTCTTTTTACCTCTAAGAATCACACACAAAACAATCGTCAAACTCCAGGAATAAAAATGAGCAAAATTCTACTCTTCTGTACGGCGCAGGAAGCCAAGCCCGTAAGCTCCATTGTAAAGGGTCTCTACCCATTCTCTTTCAAATTTCATATCTAACCGTCCCTTCACCCTCTTCAGCTCGCTGCCAAAATTTCGAAGTATGTGGAAACCACAGAAGGCTACGGCAATGCCTTCGCGATTGTGAAGTCTCAAAATGAGGTCTCAGCCGATGAGAAATTTGAGACGCCGGATGCCAATGGCAGCTTCGAGACGCAGTGGATTGGCGCCTCCGTTGAGGACGTCAGAGCTTGGGTGCTGCACCATCAGGAAAAGCTACGCGAGAACGAGGCGGTAGATGCCAATCTGATTGCTATCCTGGACGATCGAAGTGCCAGCGATGAGACGCTTCATATGGACTACTATCGGGACAGCCCAGGGTTACCATTCCGTGAGAGCGGCCTGCACCCAGAAGAAGGCGGCCCACCGTACACCAAGGATGAGATCCTCCCGCGCAAGTCAGACGCTTGGTACAGCTTCCGAATTCGATATCAACATTTCCACCAGCTTGTGGCGGATCTTACAGGCGTCACATCTGCTGAGGTTGTGTTTCCGTATTACTTTGGGCGAAAGGACGAATTCGTAAATGAGCAGGGGGTCTTTGATCTAGATAAAGTTTTCGATGCTCTCTAAACAAACTTACCCCAAGATATAAAATCAGCAACTATCTAAAATAACGAAAATGTAATTGTTGAGTCGAATTTGGGCGGACGAATGACAAGGCTGTTGTCTCGCTTCGTGACCGATGGCGTAGATACTTTTACATAACGCGCTCACAAGCTTAGTAGGGTCCATCATACGAATTTGAGCTCATACAACTGCACGGGAAATGTCAACTATTCAACTGAGAATCATTTGAATACTCCGACAGTCTTGTGATTGAGATATCGCGGACTTCTCACTCTGTTTGGCACCTGGCTGTAGGGTAAGATAAGTTTAGCCTGGGATTTGGTCCGTTCACGGAGGTTCCCCTGTTTTTTTCCTTGCAGGAGAAAAAGCTTTGGTGGGTTGTTTACGCGATTCCATTACCACCCGTGCGTTATATACATCCACCGAATACGCACCTGGACGGGCCCTGTATCCTTTTCAAGTTAGGCCTGTAGAAGCTTGGTGAAAAAAGGATTTTACTATCCAACTACTATACTTTACTATTTAGCTATCTAAATATAGCGCGGTAGCTGATATTATAAGGGGCCTGATTTTTATATTAATAAGAATACTTTTTTATAGAGATTATTATTAAGGAGGTTTTTAATATAATAATATAAAGATTATAATAGTTAGATATATAGGTTTTATAATAAAACTATTATAATAGGGCTATTAGAGCTATTTCTATTTAAATATAGTATTTTTTCTACTATTTATTAGAAGAGGAATTTTAAATTTAATAGGTTATATATAATCTCCTCTTATATTTCCTATTACTAATAAATATTATCCTAATTATCTAATAAATCCTTCTTTTTATTTTTAGTTTAAACTTTATTTTACTAGGTAATTATTAGTATATTAAAATCTATTAAGGTTTTATACTTAGTATCTTATAACTATTTAATAGGTTTAACTTTTCTAATAATAATAATAGATTTATCTAGAGATATATAGTAATAAGAAACTTATATTTTATAAAAGATCTATATTTTAAGCTTAAGGATATTATTAAATTAATAAATATATATAAAACTAATTATCTATAGTATTTTAAGATTAATAGGGGCTATTAATAGTAGGATTCTAGTTTTAAAAGATTTAGTTTTAATTATTATTTTATATAATAAGAGATTATAATAAAGATTTTATATTTTATTAAGATTAAAAGAATCTATAAATCTTTTTTTTTCTTAAACTATAATAAATTTAAAGAATACTATTTTCTATATTTAATATAATTTCTAAATCTAATAATTATTAAAGTTATCTAAGGTTAAAATCTAACTATTAATAAGCCTTAAGTAGATAATATAATAGTATAGAAGTTCCTAAGTAATAGCTTTTTTATATATATAGCTTTATAAGAGGAAAAGAAGGTTTTTATAAA